GGGGGGGGGGGGGGGGGGGGGGTGCTCGAACACCATGGTGAACCAGCCCTATGAATGGGTTGAAAGAGCCTTATAGGGAAGGACAACTAGCAAGTGTAAAAGGGCTCTCGCTCTCAATGGATCAAAGCAATGGAAGATTGTGTCAAATTCAAACAAGAAAGTATAAAGTCTCAATCTGCGTACCAAGCACTACCAGCTGCTCCTGCTGTGTCCCAAAGAGTAACAAGGACCAATTGAGGACCTCATAGAAGTGAAGTTTTAATTGCATATATCCATAAAATTTGTGTTCCATTTGAAAGCAACTTAAAACCTATGAAGCACCAACAACCATATGCGAACACATAATTTTTCAAAAAAAGTAGGACACAATGCATCAGGACACATTGATTAAAATAATAATTACTCCTTCCATCCCCACAAAGATAGGCTTGCTTCCATTCTCACACAGATAAAAAATATCTAATTAATATAATTGGAATTATAAATTTTACTTACATTATCCTAATATGCTCCTATATTGAATATTGGTTTAAATAGAAGTAGTTCATATTTGTAAATAATAAGGCACATTAAATATAGTTATATTAGAAAATAGAAAATTAAGAAATCAATTATACTCTCAACAAGGAAAGTGACTTATAATTTAATATAAATGAAAATAGTAAGCAAGCTCATCTTTGAGGGATCGGAAAGAGTATTTTTTTCATATTTTAGTTTTAATGATTACAATGTAGAATATTCTTTAGAGTTTCTTATCTTTTAAATTGCATAGGTGCAATCAATAATCAAATGAATAGAAGCGCCATGTAGCGATACATTTGGTGTTTCTTGCTAAGAAGTACAGATACGGATACGTAATTCGGGTACGATACGGATACGCCGATACAAATTTTTTGAAAAACTTAGGATAGGCGGATACGTGTTATAAATTTCAACATAAATTTATTAATATTAAAAAAAATTAATACAGAAGCATGATAATGAAAAGAAATAAAATACCAAAGCAATTTATCTTAATAATTAATTATAGAAATTTCATTTCCTTCAACATCAACAACAATTTCTTCATTGTTATTAAAAATAACAATCTTCAACTCTGACTCATTTAATGATAGATTAGCAACCTCAAGCAGTCTCACCTTCAAGAGTATCAAAAGAGTTTCCAACAATATCCCACATTTTGGATTCTCCTTTTGAATAAAGATCTATTTTTTTTATAAAAGACGCAAATTACAATGAATGAAAACCAATTCTTCAACTTGTTGTAGAATTATTTTATTCCTTGTCGTAAAGTGTACAAAAGACTATGGCACTAGATGAAGGAGGTTGCACAAGAAGTTTCAAAACAATATTTTGTAGTGAAGGTGCATTTTAATCATGAAGTATCGGATACGTATCAAAAATCATACAAAAAATACGTATGGGGTACGTATCAGATACGTAAAAATATATAAAATAATTAAAAAAAAGTATCCGATACGTATCAAAGGGTATCGGAGAGTATCGATGTATTGGATACGGGTACGTAACAAGTTTACAAGTATCGGTACTTCTTAGGTTTCTTGAGCTTTAAATTATTTTAGTAGGGACTAAATCGTAAATTTTAATTTTTGAACTTTTGAAAATGAAAGCTGTCAGTTCATAGAAACATTTTTAGCTCAACTTTGGGCCCAAAATTGACTTACACTTCTTTATAACTCACGTGCTCTTCTTTTACAAAGTGAACATCATTTTAAGTTGCTGAAAAAAAAAAGGCACATTAGGGTTTCACTTTCATCTTTGCACTGCAGTGTCACACACATTCACTCCACCAGTTCACCCAAGATGGCATTCTACCATCGGTCACTCCACCCACGGTGCTGCCTCTGCCAACCTTTCTAATTCCCTCACCCACCCGTTGTTGTGCAACTGTTTGAGGAAGACAACTCCACTTTTTTGTTTTTAGCTACGTATTATGTGTTGGCAGTGTTTCAACCACATGTGCATGACGTGTCAGCAAAGTCTGACTTCATAAAATCCTCTCAGAAAAAGTATACACCACGTGACATGGCATATCCAATGCATGTCGAGGGCATGTCGAATCATGTCGGTGCATCACGGTTTATAACTACGGGATAAAGGGCATGCTTGCAGCATCCAGTACCATTTTAGGGCCAAAGCTCATTAAAAACAGAATCTAACATATATTCCACCATCCAAGTTTCTCACATTTATCATTTGTTTAAAGAAGTACTCCCATCCTCCTTTTTTCTCTGAAATGAATGTGCGCGCGCGTGTATCCAAACTGCCCAAACATTACATTCTTTTAAGGAAACAAAGAGAGAGAGAGAATAATGAGATTGTTTAATTTACATATGGAGATAGAACTTGTGCAATTATCAAAAAATAGTGATCAGCAGAAATTCTGTTGAGCAATTTGACTTTCAGCTTTTATTTTACCCGTAGAACACATTGATGTAAAAATTTTCATTAAACAAGATCCAAGTCCAAGACTCAAGTACACCTGATTCTACTCCATCAAGTACGACAATGAAACTGTTTTCTTCTAGACAGTGGTATTGTTTAACTAATTAACCCAGAGAAATCCTAGCTACTACATAATTTAGGTAATTGAAGATTAATGACTTGCCTGTTCAGAAAGGTAAAGGCGCTGACGGTTCTTGTAAGTAGCTTGTTCTAGTTGCGGACCCCATCTGTGATACAAAAAGGTAAGCATCTATATATAGAGCATAAATAAGTTAACATAAGTTACAACAGTGAAGACTCTATTTCTTCCCTTTTTCCTCTTAATTGCCTCAGCTCCCAGCAACATGCTGTTTTTATACCAAATAAAATGCATTGAAATCAAAGTAAGAAGCAAAGGAAAATAAAGATACAGTACAGGAAGTAGATATTTCCTCAATCCGGGCTTTTGTGTGAAAACCAGTAAATCCCTCCACTTTCACAAGCGATTTCAGCCCTCTCAGAGTAAGTAGAGTAAAAAGTTGATCTTTTCCTTTGTAAGTAGCCCTCTCCCAATCATCCTATTTTCTAATTGCTTTAGTAAGCTCCATAGGAGGTGAATATTTTCAATTTACCCACAGTTCCTTAACAATTAGATGAGTAATCAGACTCAGAACCATTAAACTCTCAAGAAAGACAAGGTACGATCTACTTCTTCCCCCTTTCATCCTAAAATTTTCTGTAATTAAATAATTAATCTAGTTTAAAGCTAATGAATGTACTTTCAATTTTTTTTTCTTTTTCTCCAGAGGAGGTGACGGAGGTTATAAAGAAAACACAATGCAGCATGCAAAAATGTGCCTTCCCCTTGCTACCCTAGCATTTTTCGCAGTAATAACTAGATGTGAAACCAAGTTTAAAACATCAATCAGAAAAGTAAAATCAAAATTAAAAAAAAAAAAATATTATGCAGGAATACGTACATATATATAATTTCATATAAGAATCCCACAAACCCTATAGAGAAAGAGAGCGAAAAACCTACCGACAAGAAAGCGAGGGCCAAACAAGGTTGTGATTTGCAAGCCAGTCGTAAAGAATAGGGACCAGTGATTTCCACTGTGCATACCGCTCCTCCACTGAAGCCTCCGATGACGCCGATCCTGTTCCTCCTGCTCTCTCCTTCATTCTCTCTGCTCGCTCTTGTCAATGTCGGTTCGATATCACGGTAATTTGCGGGGAAATCTGTGCCTGTGGTTGGGTTTTGTACGGCTCTTGGGGCCAGGGCTTAAGACGAAGGAATGCCAATTGCCAAGTGTCATTATCACACTCCATTTGTAAACATGACATTTCCATCTGTACGCATTTGAATAAGCAAAATGAACGTGTACAGACGACTTTACACCTCCTTACATGGAGGAGGGGTCTACACCCCTCACATGAACGAGGGATCCACGAATATTTTATTACGTGTGAATCTCCTTCCATATAAGGAGGTGTAAAGTCGTGTGTATACTATTGTGTACACCGAACATGGTCCTAATCGTAATGATAAATGGTTCACAATTGTTCAAAAGTCAATATTTACACTACAAACATAATTTTAATTACTTCTTCAAAATTATAAATTTTTGAGTTTCATAAATTCAAATAAATTTTCATAGAATTCTTAAAAATCTCATTAAAAATTATGAGGTTTCAAAAGAATTTATTGAGAATAAGATTCATTAAAATCTTAATTGAGACACTTGTGACTTTTAAAATTCATTAAAATCTCGGTTGAATACACTTGAAATACAAAATAATAATATTTAACCATTTGCACTTGAAATTGATGCCGTCTATATGAATGGCAAATATGTGTTTTGGATCAGAGGAATAATTAAGTAATGTATTCGTCGAGATACATATGATACTTGAATTGTACTCGAACTTTTGATCAATGTCCCCATAACAAAGGAGTATGCACGCTTGTATAGTTAGATGACATGATCGTGGACATTAACTGTCCAAAAAAATATGAATCACTCGACCAAATCCAAACGTGATGAATGAGAATGTAAATTACTTAACCATACCAAATAGACAATCTACATCTACAATATATAAAATGAGGGATTTGAGAGAAACTTTTGATTGCCAATTTTATCCTCGCAAATTTAACTATAAGTCCAACGTCCCCCTTTTATCATTATATCTTCAATTTTCCATTTTAATCTTACATTTTTATGTTTATGTCAATAATACACTTAAAATTAAATTTATTTCAACTAAATACAATTATTATTAAAATTAAAATTATTTATTTTTAAAATTAAGTAATTAATTTTCACTAAACATTTTTATTACTAAATACCAGTATAAAATTGATAAAAACTTATATAAAAACAAAATAAAAATTATAACAATACTATATATATATATAATTAACATGGAATGGCATTGACTATTAGATTTATTAATATTAATATATAAAATTTATAGAAATAATAAAATTATATACACAATTAAAATTTTTAAACCTAATATTACATATTAAAAGGATATTGCAATCCTAAAAAATCCATTGTAAATAAAACATAACAGTAAAAAAAAAAAAAAATTCCTCATTAACTAACATTCATTTGATAAGTATTAGATGAATATTCATTTTCTAATAACTCACTTTTTAATCACCATTAATTTACATCATTTTGATAAATTATGAGACAAAAAGTCATTTTTAATAACACAATCGTGAATATGTGATAAACATTCGATTTCGCATTTTACTTTTACATTTTATATTTACGATCAACAATATCCTTAATATTCTATTTATTCCCGAATCCCTATCATGGTTGCGCGGGACTGATCAGCCTACTTACTCAACCAAGTGAAACGGATGCTGACGAGACCCCTTTTTTCCACTAATAGGTCACTCGTTGTTTTTAGGACCCCGCTTTGTGGCAAGTTTGTTAGAAATGATCGGACCTCCGGCTTGCCAATGTGGGTCATTCTATACTCGCATCGAGCTCGAATGGATTCGAATTCAAATCAGTTTCACAAAGTCCTTGGCTCGGCTAATCCAACTGTCAAGGACAAGGATGCTGTCAAGCTTCCAAATCAAGGATAGAAATAAAAAAGTTATTCCATAATAAAAGGAATCTGCTTTCTTAGCAGGCGCATCAACCGACTTAAGACTCCAAAACAGGATCAGAAACAAGTGTTGGGGAAAAAACAATCGAGTTCTCAGTCCTAGATAAGATAATTAATAAGTATTATTGCTTTCTAAAATTAAGTCAATTAATTTCCACTTAATACAATTATTACTAACACAGTTAAATTTTTTCAAACCTAATATTACATATTAAAAATAATATTTTATTTTTAAAAAAATCTATTAAAAATAATAAATTCAATCAATAATTGTAATCTTTAAATCTTTTATTAATCAAATACATAATTATAGAACATTTTATTGTCCATAATATATATTTTTGTTAGTTGATATTTTTCGATAAGAGTTTTAGACCAAATGAAGGAAATATATGTATGAGAACTTTTTACTCTTCAAGTCTCAATTATGAATTGCTCTCTTTTGATCGGAATAATGTTTAATCTTTTTTATGGGACACAACAACCAATCATAGATTATTATTATTATTATTATTATTATT